ATTCCATTCCATTCCATTCCATTCCATTCCATTCACTTCACTTCACTCCACTCCACTCCACTCCCCTCCCCTCCCCTCCCCTCCCCTCCCCTCCCCTCCCCTCCCCTCCCCTCCCCACACCAGATTGCCGGTAACGTGGCCATCATGCGGCAGTACCTCAGGTAGGCCGCGCACTGAGGGAAACCAAAGAGCGGTCATACATGCAGACAAACTGACATGCCCGTGTTTAGGAATCACGGATTTTTGGCAGCCAGGTGGGCGACGGGACATGGTAAATGGGATGCGAGGGAAAGAGGCCGGAGGGCACAGGGGGGAGAGGGGAAGAAGTGCTTAGACTAGTCCTAGCTAACGCGACACATGTCCAGACAGACAGACAGACAGACAGACAGAAATACCCTACGTACCAGTCCAGCTCCAGTATGTATCTGCTGCATGTATCACGAGGCAGCGGGTGGTGACTCACTCCTCCACCGACACACCACCAACCTCAGGAGCGGCTACTACCCCACCGGTGCGGCGGGGGACCCGACGAGCGCGCCCTTCTCACCATCTGGAATACTGCTCAAGGTGTGTTGCGTGCCTTCGTGGCTGCGTGGCTAAGTAAGGCGCGCGTTAGAGGAGCAGGTGTGGGCAATATGCGTATGTAGTCTTTGGGGTTTTCGTTCGGGCTTCCGCAGCTCCGCGCAGCACCCCGCGGTATCCTGATGTACACTAGCCTAGCATCTTCTGGGACAGCTCCTCACTTTCGCCAAAGCAGACGCCAACGATGGCCCCCAGCTCCGCTGCCTTCCTCTCGACCCCTTGCACTGCGGAGTGGCACTGGACCCGCCGGGGCGGGCCCAGCCCGGCGAGGCGGCGGTTCAAAGGGCCCGGTGAAGGAAGGGCATTCCCTTTGCCCGTCTTTGTAACACCGAGGGATGATTCTGAACTGTGTCGCACGTGCATGGCCCCCTTGGGTCGTGTGCATTAGGCGCCACATCACATCACACCACACCACACCAAGCCAAGCCACACCACACCACATGTCGCGCCCGAGTCTCCGGCAGCTGAAGGATAGCCCTGTCCCTGTCCCTGTCCCTGTCCCTGTCCCTGTCCCTGTCCCTGTCCCTGTCCCTGTCCCTGTCCCTGTCCCTGTCCCTGTCCCTGTCCCTGTCCCTGTCCCTGTCCCTGTCCCTGCCCGTATTGGCAGGTGGTGCGTCTGCATCACTGCGCTGTCTGCTGATCTCCCCCCTGCTTCCCCCCTCGCAGGCGCTCATCGTTGCCGGCGCAGTGTCGCTCGAGGTAACGTGCAAAAATGCCGTACTAGTACTGCATGCCATGGCGTAGTGTTGTCACACATGTTGACGGCACGGGGGCTTGGGGGGCTGCGTCGTGGGGTGTGTGCGGTGGTGAGGCGAGGAGGGGGCGGGCCGAGGGGGCTCCGGGGCTCCGGGTATCCGGTGCACTGTGTCAACAGTCACACCCTCACTCCTCTTTACCTTTATCACTCCGGTAGTGATATAATGGTGTTTGTTGGCGGTTGGAGTTGCCGTACGTGTGCATGTGAAACACCATTCCGCTGTGGCAGGGGGGGAAGGGATTCATGCGAGTGCCCGTGGGCCAGCCACATTGCTAGCTCACCATGCTGAAAGCCCTCGGCTCCCTCCATCCTCTTCACCCTCCCCACCCACCCACCCACCCACACACACACACATCTCTCCCCCCAATTCCAGTGGTGGTTTCACTGCGGACGGTCGTTCAGCTCTAGCGGTGCCTCCTGCTGCGCCATCACATGCCCGCCTTCCTGCCTGTCTGCCTTCATGTCTGTCTGTTTGTCTGTTATTAGGGCGGTGTGGCGATGCTCAAGGGAGGTCCCATGGGTCCCCCCCCCGACGGCTACCAGGGCTGGGGCCGCATGAGTCTGTCCGGTGCCCTGCCGCTGCGCGGTGTGACCGACCCGCTGTTCCGGCTTCAGCTGGTGGACTGGGGCTCCTTCAGCGCCATGGGGCAGAGCGCCACTTTGAGTGGACTGACCGCCACCGGAACCGGGTGAGGATGAGCGTACGACACACTCTCGAGCATGAGTGTGAGTAGGCGCGAGTGCGCGAGTGTGTGTGTGCGTGGGGGGGGAGGGGACAAGGGGAGGAGGTGTGCGGTCCTGGAGGAGCGCCGCCATCAAACGGCCCCCCCCCACACACCCGGATTCTCCACCTGCGTTCAATGCTAACCAACCGTAACCGCCTCCAGGGTGGATGGATGGATGGATGGATGGATGGATGGATGGATGGATGGATGGATGGATGGATGCTAGGTTTCCCTTTACGCCACGGATGACAAAGCCGTGGATAAAGTAGCAGTACAAACAGCTCTTTATGCCGTACTTTGGTACTATATGCTGCCGTATTTCCAGGCCCATAACCATCGTGATGGTGTTCTACGACTACCCAAGCAGCCGTTGGAGCGGGGACAAGGCCATCAACAATTTGGACTTGGTGGTCGAGCTGGACCCCGGCGGCAAGCGTGTGCTGGGCAATCAGCCAGAGGACGCGAGTGAGTGGGGTGTATGGGAGGATGGGACCATGGGCCCACCGTGGGGCCTGAGAGACCACTGCAGTGGAGAACAGAAGTCAGAAGGGTGTGTGGGGTGCATCGAATTAGGCTTCATGGACGGAAGGTATAAGCGGCTCCTCCTGTACACGGAATCGAGGGGCACTGCAGGGTTAACTTATAGACAAGGACTTAAGTCACTCGGCTCACCTCTCATCGCGTGTTGCCCTAAGCTTCAGGTTTCTGCCGTCCCCCTATTCTGCCGTCCCCGGCCCGCCTCGCGTCTTTTTCCTACCCTTACCCTTCTCTCCCCCGTGCGCTGATCGGCCTCGCCTGAGCCCCCTTCCTGTCGTTTGGGATCCCTGCCTCCGCAGCCAAGCCCCGGGCAGACGGGGTCAATACAGTGGAGCGGGTGCTGCTGGCGGCGCCGGCAGCGGGCACGGCAATCCGCATCATCGTGAATGCCACGTCACTGAACTCGACTGTTTTTGCTCCCGCTGAAACGCAACGCTGGGCGGTTGCGGTGGTCGGGCACTTTGTGGGGATGTTGGATTCGCCGCTCAACCCGGAGTGGGCCAAACGCCACGGGCTTGTGCCGCAGGTTGGTGTGAGAGGGTGTGTGGGTGTGTGAGTGGCTGGTGGCCCGTGCGGCCTCGTGTGATAGCGGTGGGTGTTAACTAGCCGGCTCTTTGGCTGCTGTCTGCCGGCATGACGCCGGCTGTAGCTGCAGCTGCAGCTGCCAACGGAATAGCCGTGCGGGCGTGGTTGAATAGTTCTTGCATTCGCTTTAGTGGTGGCTACCGCCGGACCGGCATCTGTTCCCGTCATATGCCCCGTAAAACCAGCACAATTGATGAGTCGCACCCACATTGTGGTCATGTCTCTCTCGCGTCACCACGCAGCACCAGCAGGTCATTCCCAGCTCGGCGCCCGGAGCTCGCTGCCCCTCTCCTCCTCCTGACCCACGGAACACGGGAGAGTCCCTCCCCGTCACCTCGCGTAACTCCCCCCTCCCAACCACCGACACTCCACACTCCGCACTCCGCAGGCACCGGGGGAGCCGCCGCAGGAGCCGGAAATGTCGCCCCCCTCTCCGCCCGACCCGCCTCCGCCCTTACCGAGGCCACCCAAGAAGCCTGGGAAACGCAACCCACCGCCGCCGCCGCCGCCGCCGCCGTCGGTGCCAGCTTTTGTACCATGAAACGTTGCAGCACTACAGCGCCGGTATGGAGAAAACACGTGCACCTAGCTAAGCTGTACCACAACATACCTACCTACCTACCTACCTACCTACGCACTACCTGCCTTATTGCCAGCTAACTACCACTACCTGCAGCAACGCAGAACGTCCTATAAGTGGCGGGTCTTTGCCTGAATAGAGGAGCGCCACGCCGCCGCCACCACCAGCCCCGCGTCAAATCTCGGTGGGTTCAGGTTCATAGTAAATAGAGGGGACTCAAGCGAGCTGGAAATTGCGGAGAGAGGGGAGAGAGAGGTATCCCCGGGGGAAGGTGGCGGGTGGAGTCCTGCTGAGACGGCGGGCTGGCGGTGAGGAAAACCAGGTGCGGTGCAGGCTTTGGCTAGGTTTGGCCAGAGCAGTGTGCAGTACGCGTCAGGTTAGAGCTGACCCCGGGTCATGTTAGAGGGGCGAGGATATGAATGGGCGAGCGCAATAACACGAACAGCAGGACAGCTGCGGGACAGGCCTAGGATCAATGCTGGCAGGAACTCCCCGGCCGTAGGGCGTGGCGCTACTAACGTATGCTGCAAGGGGTTTACTGTTTGGAGTGATGTGAGGAATATGTTTTTATATGGAACGCAAATGACCTCCTTGCAGCGGCTTGGAAGGCTTGGAAGAAAAAGGGACCAGCCCGTGCATGCATGCATGCTGCTTTTCATAATCCGTCCCGTCATATATTGGGCAATTAGGGCTTAATCGCGATATGATTTTTGCACCTTCCTTGCCCGCTGATTCTTCTGCGCGGTCATTCCGCGCACGCGTGAACCTGGTGTGCGCGGGTTTCGCGGTTTTGATGTTGCGGTAGTTTGCCTCCAGCCCTGGAGGTCTCGCCTGCCTGGAATATGCGATTAGTAATTTCATGGCTGTTAATTTAAGTTGTGACATTCAACATTATACGCTCCTCCTCTTGGAAGCTCTCGTCGCCAATCACGTTTGGAGCTCACCGGTAGCGTCAAGTAGAGCGCGGGGCTTTCTGCCATCGTCATCAAGTGAGCGAAGAGAGCTCAAAGGCGCCTGACATGCCTGGATGGCTCCGGCTGTCCGCCAGGCAGCAGGGAACATTTGGATCCCGCGGAATTAAAGTTTTGGGTCTTGCATGTGCCTTGCACGAGAGTGCTGCTGTGCTGAAGGATAATTATGGGTTGTGGCACTTGTTTGCTTATGTTGTTTTCTATTCGCAACGCAGCAGGGCGTTGGCTGCGCGCTCTGGGTGTCAGCAGCTGTTGCCTGCGGAGGGGGCGTCAGACTGTATAGGTTCCAGCACGCAGTCTTGTGACATGCACTTCCTCCCCTGTGCAAGCTAGGGGATGCGGCAGCGCTGCGCTTGTGGCATTTGGCTGAGGAGCAGGCAGGGCAAGTGGGCAAATCGAAGGGGGAATCGTTGTGTTGCAGCAATCCATGTACGAACGGCAAGGTTTGCACGAGGCACTTGTCATTTTCCAGGACATGCCTGCCGACCAACCTGAGCGTGGGAGGTCCAACCCTTCCTCCTAGAACAACACGTAAACCATACGTGGATTTGCTGCTGTGCAGACGGGGCATGGAGAAGCTGGGTAAGGAAGCGGCATGCAAGTTCGCATGCTTGCGCACTGTGCGCCTGCACTTGCGTCTGTGAAGAGGCTTGCAGATGGTGGTCGGCCGGCCGGTTGATTTGTTTGCGCTTTTTTACCAGTTACGCTGGCAAATAGCTTAAGGCTCTTTATATTGGAAAGGGAGGGAAGCGTATGGCAAACATCGACAAATGGTGAGAACATCACATTTCCCTGTTCCTCAGGGGTACGCTTAGCCCGGCTGTGAGCGCCCATGAGCCTTTTTGAAGCACAGAATTGTCAATGCTGCAAAGCAGCAACTTCCACCGCATATCATGTCTTGAGCATGCTAAGTGCTGGCACTCCTTGCCAATCGCGATCAAAGCCGTGGAAATTTGGCATTGCAATAGTGGTGTGGCGATTTGCATTGTGGGATTGAATACCTGGAAAGCCGGCGTGCCAGTTGGCACGGCAGCAGGGGAGCAGCCGCCGGGAGGTCGCCTACCCGCCTCATTGCAATTTTTTAAATTCCTTTCAGAAATTATTGTGACAACGTAGCGCTAGCTTTGCATCGCGATTTGGTACTGGGTTTGGGTAGGTCTGGTTGGCGCGAAGATGATTGTCACCGTTGATTAAGGTAGGTTGGTTTACAGTTGATGTATTGCTCTCCAATAAGATGTAGAAATTGGACAGGATAGGGTTCGATTTCGCAGTCGCGGCACATGGTATGTGCACATACATATCGGGCAATAGGGTTTGGCACTACTGGTAAGGCGCGACCATTGCCCCCGGGAGATCCCGGGATTGATACCCACTAGGGTCAAAGTCCTTCCGATGGTGGAAGGCATAGCGCCCGTAGTTGATGGACGGTGGTGACCTGGGATAAAGTTAACCTGCGAGCCGACCAGGAACGGAGATGGGCCGCTGTCGACCCGGCAGATTCCGTTGGATGCTGGTGGTGGGTGCGGAACCTGAGCGATCCACTGAGAAGTTGACTAGGGTGACTGGATGAGGGTGCCCCGAAAGACCGGGGAAGGCAGGGTTTCGCAGGGTAGCTGCCACGGGCGAAGATACACCCCCCTGTTTCACACATATGGGGCTGTAGGAGCTGGATATTTATTAGCCCTAAATGTATTTAGGAACGACCCCGCCCTCATCCTTATCCTAGAAGAGGACTTAGGGTTTTTTAATGAAGAGGACTTCATAGTATGTTATACCATCGGCCTGGACAGCTGCGCGTGATGCTGCACACAAGGCGCCCAGCGTCGTGCAGGTGTCGTATAAGCTCCGTTTCCAGTACGCATGCCGTACTGTACCCGGTCAGATCCTACACGCCATACACACGTGGCAACTGCGAGTGTGTTGTAAGCTGTCGCCATGTGAAAAAGCGCCTCCCCGTGCTGCATTGCGTTGGCACTGAAGTGCGAAGAAGTCCCTTATCTCACCGCCGCTGTATTTCCGTGGTGGATGGACCTCCGCACCGCAACAGAGCTGTTGGGGCGTCTCAGGGATGTCTCAATCTCAAACATGAAATGTCCCATCGTACGACACTCTGATGCTGAAGTCATCAATTATGCAGGCGAACCAATCATCCGTTCGCCTGGTAATCCGCATCAGCCCCAGTGTGGCTCTCTTCCATCGGAGTGCTCGCTGTCATTGTCACAGCAGACCAACAGAAACTCAATTGTGTGTGTGGGGGGGGCTTGGGGAGGGCCTACAACCTAGCCTACCACCACCGTGTCGTGGTGAGGGACGAGGTGAGGTAGGCGGTTTTGCACCTCCCCTCCTTTTCTACCTTGCGGATGGTGCTCGTGTAGGGTGTTCTGCACGAGCCCGTAGGCCCCCACCGCAATGACAACAACAACAACAACAATAACAACAACAGAGATGACATCAATACCTTATTACTTACCTACCTACCGAGTACCTTACACAAGGATTGCGGGGCGTTCACAAAGCATGGGAGCTATGGCCCCATAACGTTGCTTTGTACGGAGTACCTGATCTTATGGCTGTTTGGTGGTGGCCACGCTACTTGGCCGTCTGCTCTGCTCTGCTCTGGGAGGAGTTGACACACTCGGACCATCGGCCTTCCTCCCTAAGTGTCTTACAGGCGCTAATGTGTTGTTCCTGTTCCTGAGGGCTCTTCCTCATTTTATGCCACAGCAGCGTCGGCGGCCTTGCGTGATAGCGTTTTTGGACCTGGCGAAAGCGTTTGACACCTTCGGTAGAGTCTTATAATTCCAGGCGGTAGATGCCAGGGGCGCAGGTCACGGCTAGCAGCAGGCTTGGGCTCAGCTTCTCCTCGCGAATACGACCACCAGTTCGCAAGCGCTTGTTCATGGGTACACATTGCCCCTAGTGCTCACGTCCCAAGGGGTGCGACAAGGATATCCCCTATCGCCTTTGTTGCATCTTTTTGCTGCACAGGCTTTCGTATGGCGGGATGCAGCATTGTGGAGTCGCAGTACATTCACATCAAGGTACTGCCGGTGGGGCGCTTCAGACTGCGGTGCAGTTAGCAGCGAATGATACCACTGGGTCTGCATTGGATTTCCCGTACGCAGTGAAGGGCTTCCTGCATTGTGTGGAGGGGCATCCTAGGGCACTGGGTCAACAGCTTAATGTGGATAAGGCGCAGTTATTGCCGGTTGGCGAGGTGGGAGTCTTGAATGACGAGCCTACGGTCTGAAGGTAGCCGCAAAAGGTTTGAACCTGCCCTTCACCGATCCGAGGCATAAGCCGGAAATGGACTGGGAGCAGCCATAGAGCCGATAGAGTGAAAATGCGCTTTGGGAGGACATCACGGTTGCACTTGTCAGTGTTTGGCAGCGCAACAGCAGCCGCTGCTTATGGAATGCGGGATTTGATCGCTCAAGCAGCCACGGCAGTTAGTTCTTTTGGATGGCAACCGTAATCAAGCTCATGCGCTATTTGTGCGGGAGGCACCTAACAACCCTTCCCCGCAGCAACCCTTCCATCTTGGGGACCGTACGCCTTACAACATGCGTTCCGTCGTGTTTGGTCGACTGTTCGGTGAGGAAATTCCCCAAAGGAAACGTGGTGGAGGTTGTCCGTTGATGGTATCCTCATATGCTCACAGGCTTCGACTTCTCGAAGCGAAGTATGAGTGTAGAGATAGGCAAGTAGTCATTCTGAAGGAGCTGCCGTGGTGCGTGGAAGTAGGGCGCATGCATGCATGTGCCGGACCACAGTACGGCAGGGGACGCCAAGCTTCTACTTGGATCGCACAGGTGCATTGGTTTTTAAACTTCCGTTGTTTTGACTATTACTACCAGGAGGTGTGTCCCGCTGCTGGGACAGTGTCCTCGAGTTTCCCCCCCCACCCAACCCCCCACGGGTCAGTATCTTATTGTTACATCACGACTTCTGACAAGTACCGATCGGCGGATGAAGACCCCGTGATAAGCCCCTACAGGATACGACGACACTTATATATTGCCCTTGGAGTACCCGTCTATGTTTTCCTGTTCCATCAATCATCTGTGCTTCGTCGTACCGCCCACCCACCCACCCCGGGCAATCCCGGGGGTTGCCGCAATGCAGCGGTCCCTGATTTTGTCTCTGCTGGCCTCGGGTGGGTCACCGCGTGAGGCTCTTCAGCACTTCCCGGGGCCTTAGGGTCCTGGGGTGCTCTTTAGCACCGCAACACGCGTAACTGCCAGCACTATCGGCCACTAGCGCAACTTCCACCATGGGTTGGTGTTGGGTTTTAAGGGGGTTTCGCAGCCGGGTTGTTTGCTACCAAGCTAAGCTGGCGGCTGCTGGCTTAGCTACTATAACACAACACGGCAGGACTGAGAGCAATAACTACATTTCACGCATGTAAGGGGGGGGGGCTTTCACACCTCATTGTAAAGAATCCCGGTCACCTAGACTGCATCATTGTTGGACCTGCCCAACAATGCGCTCTAGCGGTCATTAGCCAGATTGCTACAGTAATGGGTCACCCAGCATCCCGCGAGGAAGTTTGGCAAATGTGACCTCTGGTGGAAATGCAAAACAATGTTTGTGGGATGTGGTAGTCCTGTCGGCAGTTAACGTGATCGAAACGGGGTGTCGGCTGGTACAAAGCGACAGCACACTTACAGAAAGGACAGCACGACGGTCCTGAGTCCTCCCCGAATGGCTTCGGCTGAGATATGTTGGAAATGACCGACCCTCATATACCAGAGGATGGTAGCAGCAGTAATAGGACCCGCCGGGGGTCCGTGGCGCTTTGCTCGTCTTAACCATATATCGACCCATACGACGAGCAAAACTACCACCTGCCATCCGAACCATCCACCTTCCAAGAGCAGGACCAACACGCCTATGTCCCTTTTTGACATCATTTGTGTCCGTGTGCTAGCTGAGGCTATATCGCCAGTGAAACCAGTATATGCTTAGCCACGTAAGGCCCCCCACAGTGTTGAACCTCGAGAGATGACGTAACGTAAAGTGCCGTGTGATACGAAGACCACCCAGGAAGGAAGTGAATGGAGTTCTACAACAACAAGAAACTACTCGTTGTCCACACACTGGCCTTCATCCGAAAGCTCCGTCAGTAGCGAGTAGGCCCTATCCGAGAGCCACTCGGCGAGTCACGCCAGCCAGCCTGAGAGCCCTAATCTCCTCTCGCGCGGCCCCACCCACACACGTTGACCACATGTACAATACGGTGTATACACGCGGTGTATACACGCACATGGGAACACATGCGTTGTAGAAGCCCATTCATTCCCCAGGATGCGTGCGCCCCATTCCACCGTGGTTGTGTGGTGTAAAACTCACTCGCACAACAAAGCAGTAAATATATATACATAAATGATCATATGTTCAAAACCCCAACACCCTGGGCCCATCCAGGAGATGTGTATTTCTCATTGGTTGACCGTCAACAGATGACAGCAAGGAACACCCAACGGTCAACAAAAGCCAACGGCCACAATCGTCCCCAACGCAACCACCCAAGTTCGCCACTAGTTCCCGGCACCGTCATAGGGTGCTACCCCTACCCCCTTGCCCTTACTACCTCTCCCCCCACACCCGCTTGCCGACAGACCAGTACCAGTATGCCCCCGGTCTGTCGCGAGAGGGTCCCCGGTCTGTCAGCTGCCAACCCACACAGGTCCATCTCAATAAGCCTCTGGTCATCCCGTCGGCCACCCCGCAGTGTGCCGCCAGGCCTCAACACTTGGCCCCCCTCCTCTCCTCTCCTCTCCTCTCCTCACCCCTCCTCTCCACCTCCATACTCTAGCTCCACGTTCGTTACATAATCGCTTTAAGTTGCTTTTAATTTGCATCCATGAGCTCCGCTGGCCAGCTGCCCGCTGAAGGCGCTGCCCGGCTGAAGGTCAAGTAATCGTCCACCTAATCGCCGGGTAAGACATAACGGTCAACACAGTGATCGTGGGACTAGACGCGCTGCGGAGGCGGCGTGGTCGTTTCCGCCGCCGCCGCCGCCGCTGTCACCGCACCGCCGGATTTAATGCCCCAGAGGTCCCGGTTGAGGTCCCGTTCTAGAGCTTCCCCCCCCACTGGGGGGCCGCCTCCCCCTCCCCCTCCTTCTACCCCTACCCCTGGCCCTACGTCAGCACAGTCCGTCTCACAACTTCCTTCCGTATCCTTGGCCTGCGGCATTGCCGGCGCTGAGCCAGCAGTGCCAGTGCCGGTGCCGGTGCCAGTGGCAGGATGAGGCAGGGCAGCCCCGGCGTTTGTCGTGGCAGTATCAGCGGCAGCCGTTGCCGCTTGCGGTGCAGACGGCGCCGCAACCAGCTCATCCGCCATGCAAAAATAGTCGTCCATTAATCCTCCGGGCGATGCCGTACCATCAGCGCCGCCGGCGCTGCCACCGTGCAATCCCAGCGCTGCGGCGCCACGCCGGCCACGGTCCGTCTCTAGATCCACGTACAAGATCCCTGGATTCATCATTTGAATCTTGGATTCGATCCGATCCACCTCCGCACCGACTGCCGACACCAGGTCTCGTCCGTAGCTGCGCATGACTCGCTCCAAGGCCTCCTGATCGTTCCGCTCAGCCGCCGCCTGCAATATCCCTATCAGCCGGTCCCTACCGCACCTGCATGTGGGCCGTACGGCCGTACAGCCAGAGCAGTCCAAGACGGTGGAATGATGACGGGTCCCAAAACATCGGCGGGGAAAAGTTTAAGGCGGTCAAGAGGCCCAGAAGCTAACCCATTGCGGTTGTTCAAACTGGACCTCTTCCGCCACTCTAGAAAACCCTTACCCCGGGTAGTGCCGCCCCCCTTCCTGGCCCCCCCGTCTTCTCCCACCCCCCATTTGCCCCACCTGTCCATGTACCGCTTCACCACCTGATCTCCGTCCCATGCCACCT